AATAAATATGCATCAGGATAAGCCATAGCTGTTCATTCCAACAAAGATTTGCCTTTCAAAAAGCTTCACAGTTCATTCTTATCCCACTTTGATTGTGCCCTGTTAGGAACATATACTTAAAATATACTGTCCAGAACAGGACAGACAGTAACAGGGATGGTGATGATGATAAATTAATGGCAAAGCAGTGGCTTCTTATACATGACAGAAGACCCTGTCAAAAAGATGCACGTTCAAGTCCTAGTGGTTTTAATGGGAAACTTATATGCTTACCTACATACAACTCATTTCTGAGAATAATCAGTCTAAACAACAAGCAGCATGGAAATATGGCTTCTTAACAAAACAATTCTTTGTACAATTCTGTAAGTTGGCTAATTTACGCATTACGTTTGGTGCAAATATTCTCTTTGACCTTTTCTATTAAAACAATCGTGTTGCTTGTAAAGATCAGGAAAGAAGGAATCCACAACCTTGTTTTAGCTCTAGAACAGGCCTTCCCACCCTTTAGGGCCACTCAATCTGCACATCGGGACTGTTGAGAGCCTGTTGCGGACACTCTCACAAAATGGTAGCTGCAAAAGACACAGCCAATCACAAAACACCATATAACTGAAAGCAAACAGGGCAGCCCCCTTCCTCTTATTTTCCAAGAATGCCACCAGCATGGGCACCCACAAGGGGGCAAAGATGGAAAATGACATCATGCGTGCCACGATATAATTGCACAACTGATACAAACTATGCATATTGTGTCAATTGCATCATCTGTGCCATTGACCCAGTGACATCATGACACGCATGTCATCATTGTTGCTTGGACCATATATATATATAGTCCAGAAGCCTCATCAGATGAGACAGGCACTTGGTTTTGTACCTTGCTAGATTCCCATTCATAGTTTTTAACATTAAAAAAAATCTAAAATATGTATATTAGGTAGCACATGGAGCTTGGCAAGCACCAAGGAACATGCTGTGGACATATTACTGACTCCAGAGACTGGGTTGGGGACCAGATTCAAGCACAGTCCAAACATATCAAGTTTTCAATTAAAAGTTGGTCGTTACCAAACCAAAATTCTGTAGCCAGTCTTATATAGGGAAAATGCCAAGCATTTGTGATTTTCCTTGTTCCAAGGGCAGCTTCCTTGTTCCTTCCTGAGCAGCTAAGATGGCAACTCTTAAAAAAAAATTGGGTGATGACTTCAAGTTTTCCCCTCAAAAGTTGTTTTGGATAGGCCAGAGTAATGCAGGAAAATAACAACAAGAACATTCTTTTTTTAAAAAAAAGTGGGGGGGAGCAAATAAATTACATTGAGGATTTTTCCATCTGGACCTAGTTTACTTCAGTCAACAAAGCCTAGTTGGACTTGCTTTTCCCAAGTAAACGTGTTTTCTAAGAAGGAGACCAAGCGTCTGGTAGCACTTTCAGAATTCATCAAAGCTTCTGCCCTAATAGAGTTGGGGAGTCTGGAGGGGACAACCCAATTCAAGATCTACTCTGCACAAATTTAACAGTGTTGCATAGACTAAGATTGTTTCCCCCCCCCTCCCCATTTTCTAAGAAGAGACCTATTTGGAAACCAGCCTTGGGAGAGATCCTCATAAAGGTGAAGTCAGCCCAGCCTTGCTCTGTCACTCATCTTTCCTTTCATGTCCAGTCAAGCTCATTTCTAAGCAGGCACAGAGCAGCAACCTCCTCCTTGTGAAGAGGAGCCACACCCATGGGGCACCAGCTGGCTGAAGTCACAGATTTGGGTTTTGTTTCCTTGTTTAGCATGACACCAAACATAAAATAGCCTGCTCAGTCCCTGTAACCTTTCAGCTACTTCTAACAAAACCAGTGCTCCGCTGTGGATTTGGGACTGAAAGAAAGCAGAACTCAATTTCTCTCCCCCCCCCCCCATGTGCAATGGGCAAGGCCCTTGACCTCAGAGAGACAGAATCTGGGCAGAGACTGCCCCTGGGGGTCAAGTTCAACCTGCTGGTCTGCATGTGCCCTCTCCAAAAAGGAAGGAAGAAAAACCAGCTTTATTTCTGCAACCCCAACAACAACAGAAGCCATTTTCTCCAGAGCTGGGGGGCCTGATCTCCCCAAACTCTCGCTCCAGCAAGCAACACAGCCATTGCTCGGAGCAAAACAGAAGCAAGCAGGGTGGTGTTTCGCACCTTCCAGAACACTTCTAAATAATAATAATAATAATAATAATAATAATAATAATAATAATAATAATAATATCACCACCAGTCAATTGCAAAAGGCAGCTTTACTTGGAACAACTTATATCCTGCGACGAGACCTTTAACACCATCAAACAACAACATCTGCTTATCCCAGGTCCTTGGGAAGGACTTGATAGGTGGACAAAAATGCCAATCCAGTCTAAACATCTGGCTGACTGTGCAACCATAATTATAAGCCAAATTAGCATAATACCAGCAGCAACCTTTTCCTCCAACGCCCTCCTGAACCTACTTTCCAAACTAACATTCAAACTAACCTGGGGCTCCTGCAAACCGGTCCCTCAATCCGGAGCGTACCAAGCACTTCCCTTGAATTCTCCTGAAAAAGTTTCGGAGCAAGTCAAGCTCTTCCTCCCCCAGCGATAAGAGACTCGCATCGGATTTAAAGGCACTTTTCTGCTTTCACACGCTCTGCAAAGCCGCCTCCGTCGCCGCCGCGGGGCTCGCGGAGAAAGGCGGCAAGATTTCGGGCGAGGTGAGCCATGCATTTATATGCCTGGAAATCCAGGCCCCTGTAGGAG